TGTCCATCCCACCTCCTGAGGAGCCACAGAGCCCTCCTGCCCCTGTCATGACCCGGCAGAGCCCCGTCTGTTCTGCTGGCCTCTCCCTGCCTGCGCCCTGCAGCTGGACCTGGCTGGGGGACACGGCCTCGCTGACCCTGCCTATGTCCCGGTCCCTCATTTTCCACTTCTATTCTCCCCTCCAGCCTCCTCTTTCTTCTACCCTGATCTGTGGACTCTGCTTCTTAGTTCTCTGAGCAAACAGATGCAGGTGGGAGCATCCACAACCTCCCTCCTGGCATCACCCACCCACCTGTGTGTGTGTCCTCACCCTCTGCCTTCTCTCCCAGGGATGTGGGAGGACCTGCCCAGTGCCTCCTCTGCTGTGCTGGCCTCACCCCTCTCTCCAGAGACCATTGGTTCCCTCTCCATGGTACATTCTCATCCACAAGCCAATATGCTGACATTTCTTCCATGAAGAAAAAGAAAAAAAAAAGACCTGTTTCCACATCTTCCCTCCATCTTTTGCTCACTCTCTGTTTTAGGACTGGTGACAGTCTAGAGAGAGCTTTCTGTATTTCCTGTCTCCCAGTCTCTCTTCTGTCTCAGCCCCCAGCAGTCCCGCCCTCCCCGCTCCTGCAGACCTGTTCTGGACGCTGTCAGCCTGACTTCCACCATGCAGAGCCTGGTGGGCAAACCTGTCTGCACCCTCGGGTCTTCCTGCAGAATGTTGCATGGTCTACACTCTCCCTTTCTTTCTTACTTTTTTATAAAAATTAATTAATTATTTTTGGTGCATACAAGTTTTTTCTTTTTTTTTAAGTATAGTGGATTTACAATGTTGTGTTAATTTCAGGTGTACAGCAAAGTGATTCCGTTATGCTTACACTCTCCCGTCCTTGAAGCCCTTCCTTGGCTTGGCTCCTGGACACCACACCTGGGGTTTCCTCCTCTCTCACTGGCCCGTCCTTCTCAGACACTGTCACTAGTCCCTTTTTACCTCCCCAAAAGAAGTCTTAAGTACTGAAGGACCCCAGGGCTCCATCTTCTGCATTCTTCTTTACTGTTATTCCCTGAGTGATATGATTCACTCTCAAGGTTGTAAATACTGTGTTCAGCTGATTCTCATTATTCACAGACGTTATGTTCGGTAAAGTTGCTGTGAACGCTGAACTAGCTGCTAGTGGACCACAGGGAAATGTAGTCGGTTCCTGTGAGCCTCTGGTCACGTTTCCATCAACTCATCAATACTTAACCTTGTTTTGTTTGTGTTTCTGTATGAAGAAACACAACGTATATTTACTAAATATTGTTGATTCATTAACATTGACTCATGGCCAACAGCAGTGTGATTCACACCTGAACAAAGCTTGTCTAACACGTATTTTCTCCATAAGGCACATCACAGCCTTCTTGCACTTCGATCACTAGACGGCACTTTAGCACTGCCCATGAAATCACCAACAAAAAGCACAAAATTACCAAACGTGTGGCACTAAATAGACCATGAGAAGGACACTTGTTTACAGTGTGAGAGCTGAAACAGGAAGACAGAGCACAGCCTTGTTCGACCTTGACTGGGAACATGCATCTCAGTGACTCAGATTTTTTGTGGCTCTACACAGATTTGTGGATGATGCAAAAGCCCAGCAAGAATTGATTTTGGAGTTACGAATAAATTTAGCAAGTAGGCAAATTCATGAATACAGAATCTGCAGAGAATGAGGTTCCACAGTGGATGCCGATCACTCTGAAATGCATATCCTCAGCTTAGACCCCTTCCCTGAACTTGTGCGTTGTTATCCAGCTGGCCGCTGGACAGGAATGTGAATGTCTCATAGACATTTCAAACTGCTTATGCCACAGCCTGAAGTCCTGGTCTCCTCAAACCTGCTCTTTCGGCACTCTCCCCTTTCATTTAGACATTCCATCCTTTTCCAGTTGCTCAAGCAAAAGACCTAGTCACCACTGACTCCTTTTTGTTAAATATCCTATGCATGCCATCTGTCATCAGAACCAATTGGCTGCACCTGAAAAATCTATCTAGACCCTGACCTTTCTCGCTCTTTTCACCATTACCATTCTCGTGGCAAGAATTTGGCTTTTTCGGTGTGAGATGGAAGCCGCTGGAGGATTCTGGGAAAAGCAGTGCTCCCCACCATGCTCTCTCCCTGATATTTCTGTTCCAACTCTACTGTTCCTTGTTGTTCCTCGAAAACCGGAAGAAAATGAACACTTGTGATCACCTAGATTCAACAGTTGTTTGCAATTTGCCATAATTGCTTTGTTTCTGTATGTATGTCTGTGCATGTGTGTTTTATCATGATTTGAGGGTAAATTGCAGATGTTCATACTTCATCCCCTTCTTGAGCACACATATTTTAAAAATAAGAACATTCTCCTACATAACTTCTATTACCACACTGTAGAAAATTAATATTAATTCGTAATATCCACTATCATCCATATTCACTTCCTCACTTGTTCCCCAAGTGTCTCTTATAGCGGTTCTTAACTTGGAACCAGGATGTAGTCAAGATTCACATGGTGCATTTGATTTCATTTCTCCTTAATCTCTTTTAATCTCGAGCTGTCTCATCACCTTTTTTTTTCTTTTATATTGATTTTTGAAGTTAGGAATTTTTTCCTCTCATTCTGCATATTTGTCAGTTTTTTTCTGTTTCTAAATTTATTAGCATAAAGTTGTTTATACTAATTTTTTGGTGATTTTTTTAAAGGGAAAAATCTGTATTTACGTCACCTTTTTCATTCCACATATTGTTATGCTGTTGTTGTTGTTATGTGTCTTTATCATTCTTTCCTTTTTATTGATCGGGTTTGCTGGAGATATACTTATTTTATAACTTCGAAAATCAGATTTTAATCACTTTCTGTTTCTCCATTGTTTATGTTCATCTCATTGTTTTCTCCTTTTGGGTTTATTCTAATTTTTCCCCTCACTTCTTGAATTGAATGCTTAACTTATTTCCATTCTTCCCTTTTGTCTAATACATGCAATTGAAGCGGATCAAAGGATACCATCCTCAAATATGGCACTTTGGCTTATTGATTATTTTGAGCTGAAGGCAATTAGGAAACAGCAGATGCAAAAAGTTTTTCTCTCTCCCCCTTTCTGCCTAAAATTAGGGCATAAATTCCCTCTCCCCCATGAGGGGAGCAACTCTTATCACCAGATTCCCCATATATTTCCCAGTCATGCCTCCACAATTTATCACCCTTTGTTAAAATGCTGTATAAACCATGTGTCTAACTGCTTCTCGGGTTTTCACTTCTTTTCTGCAAAACCACTGTGTGCTAAAAATTAAAAATATTAATAACGTGTATGCTTTTTCTCCTGTTAAGCTGACTTTTGTTGGTTAAATTCACAGGCCCTCAGTTGCTGAACCTAAGAGGGTAGGGGAAAGTGTTTTTCTCTCTGACTGCAATCTAGGGTATCAGTATTTCTCTAAGTACCAGTGTATAGTTTCAACTTTTTGCTACAGAGTGTTTTCATTGTAATTCGGTTCTAAACATTTTGAATGTTTATTATCATTTCTTCATTGTGCTAATATAACACGTTTTATATAAAATTTTTGTTGACTTGTGGGTTAATATGTGGGCAGTTTGGTAGCTGTTCACATCTGCTTGAAAAGACTGTATATTCTCTAATTGCTAATGAAGGGATCTCTATCTTTGGGTTCAGGCTTCCTAGTTTTTCCTTTCCAAGGAAACCTCTTTGAATTAAAAACAAAAATTTAATTAGAGAGAGAATCTATCTCAAACAGTGAATTTAATATATTTACATTTGTTTGGATTTATTTCAGCCCACATTATTTTTTGCTTTATGGTTGATAGGTTTACTGTTCTTTTTCTTCTTTCTGGCTGTTTGTTTGCTCAAGTGTGTTTGGGTCTCTTCCTCATTTCTACCCCCATTCCCACCATCAGTCTTCCTGATGAGTGTTTATTTGGAGCACTTCCTCCTGTGAAGCTATTTGTAGTAAGCACCTCTTCAGTGGGGAGCATTTTCTGGCCTGGATTGTGAAAGTCTTGCATTTGTTTCTGCCAGGTGCCCAGGGATTTCACTGCCTAGGGTCCACTGTTCCGTCAATTTCTCAGCCTAGGTATTCCTACTTCAAAAGGATGGTGCAAATTTGGGGGATTGGTTTTTGTGTTGTTGTTGCTGAAGACTTTACATTAATTTATTTTCCAGTTTTATTTTATTTTTTATGGTTTCTTTTTTCCTTTCCTGGGCTTCCTTACCATATTCCTAGGCTTGGTTGGCAGAGTTTTTCTTTTGTTGTTTGTTTTTAATTTTGTCCGCTAAGTGTGAACCTTTGAGGGCTCAGACCTTGTGTGGGAAAGTCTCAGTTACAAATCCCTGTCTCAAAGGGTCTCAAGGCCTCACTGGACACAGTCCTAAGCACTGGTAAGGTGAGGGCCTGTCTCTGGGTCTGGCCCTGTCCCCAGCATCCTGGCTCCTTCACATCTGCTCCTGCCATCCTGACCCTGACCTCCAGTTTCCTCTCTCACATGGGGATGGGGGTTGCTTCCTTTTCCCTCTGAGCTCCACCATTTTAACTTTATTTGTAGGTTGCATTCACTCTGGTATTTCTACTGTTTGTAATGGGAATGAATTCTTTTTTTTTTTTTCGCGGGTCTCTCACTGTCGTGGCCTCTTCCGTTGCGGAGCACAGGCTCCGGACGCGCAGGCTCAGCAGCCATGGCTCACGGGCCCAGCCGCTCCACGGCATGTGGGATCTTCCCGGACCGGGACACGAACCCACGTCCCCTGCATCGGCAGGTGGACTCTCAACCACTGCGCCACCAGGGAAGCCCAGGAATGGATTCTTCTTAGCTTAATCTTATTACCCAGAACCAGAAGTTATCATTGATTTCTTGCATGAATACACTGTAAGTATAGTTAAAATTAATTTTTTCCTGTACTCTTGATTTTAGTTTTCTCATTGTTTATAATCTTTGGACGTGCCCCACTCAGTGTAATGCATGTGTCTCTCTTGTAGCCTGACTTAAACATCTCCAATGGCTAACGAAGCTCACCCTTGTCCATGTGACATTGGCCATAGAATAGAGTACGGAGGGTTGGGGCATGAAGTTCAAGTTGAGCACATCAAGGCTTATCTCACCGAATCCCCCGTTGATGCTGGCAAAGCTGTGATTGTCATTCAAGATATATTCGGCTGGCAATTGCCCAATACCAGGTATATGGCGGACATGATTGCAGGAAATGGATACACGTACGTATAAAATTCTTCTTTTTTTCGCTTAAATTCATGTAAATTTCTGTATTTTGTTCCCTTCAAAGGAAATGAAACCAAAAAACCCTGAGTATATTCTGATGTACATTATCTATTTTCTTATCTCACTGGGGTGCAGGTAAATGGAGACTGTCACATACGACCACCAGTGTCCAGTGGAAGCCAACTGCTCCCAACCCAATGTCTGGGCTTCAGGTCCTCCTAGGATGGCTAGCCCTGTAGACTTGTTGGACGCTGAGAAAGTTATTTCCCGATGTGAGGCCCTGCGCAGACACTGGTACAGGACACCTAGGGCAGAACTCACCAGCTCTGAAATGGATCCATTACTTGGCCCTTGAAGCATCTCTGCCTGGGGTCAGCTTTCACACACAGGGCACACGTAGTTATCCTGGTCTGAACACGAACTGTCATGGCCTGTTGTGAATTAGACTAGCTTCCAGAACTGGCAGAGTGAGACCTCAGCTCCCAAAGGCTATCTCTGTCACATTGTGTGACCATGGCCACCTTTGGTGACTGCTGTCACCTGCTTGCCCCGCACTGCTGTGCTGTTGGCAGCAGCTTCAGTAAACCACGGAGGAGAGAGAGGAGGGACCATCCCTGCCAGTCCAGCTTCACTCAGCGCAGCACTCAGCGAGCCCCGAGTGTGGTGCACCCCAATTCCCTTTATTTTCTTAAAAAGAGGAGCTGAAAACCAAAGCGTGCACCCATCTCATTTTCCTACAAAGAGAAACCCATTGAAAGGAAGCACCCCCACTGCCGTGTGATGCAATTTCCTGTTGACTGGAAAGAGGACGTCCACTTGATTTTTCCCTTTTTCATGCCCTCATGTTTCTTCTTGTAGATGAGGCAACTTAACTTTCCAAGGGCAATACCAGTAATAAAAATAATAGCCAGCCCTGATTGCTTTCTGGCTCCACCAGACCCGGCACTAGGGCGTTCCCGGGGTAATTACCCGTCATCCTTCCAACAACCCGCACAAGGCGGGGCTGTCACTGTTCCCATATTGATGGTTAGGAAACCAGGGCATGAAGGCCGAGGTCTCAGTTGCCCCAGGTCACCTGCTGCAGCGAGGAGATTGGATGGGATGGTGGCTTCTGTTTTCTTGGGTGGGTCCATTAACTGGAGACAAAAATGAGTAAAGATGCCTGTGACTTACAAAGCCTCTCACCCTCATCTAAGTATTTTGCCTTCAGAATAATCCTCTGAGGGTGCACGGCTCTGTTAGATCATCAAGAACAAGAGGCTAAAAGTGATTAAGTGACTTCTAAGGTTTCAGGGCAGAACAGGGCAGTACTGGGACCTGAACTTTGATTCTTCTGACCCAGATTTCAGTGTTCCTCCCACCCCTGCAGGAGAGGTTGTGTTCCTCCATCCATGGCCGTGACCTTTACTTCCGGAACCGGCTCTCTGGGGCGGGCTGTGTTGCCCCACCCCAGGGTTGATGTGGAAGGAAGGTTGACATGGACCCCGCAAGCTGGCTTGTCTGCTCCGCGGCCCCTTTTAGAGCCTGCATGAGACCAAACCCTCGGGGCAGGACATTGTGCCCTGTTGGCATCCTGGGTGGAGGTTGGGAAATTGCTTGGTCATGGTAACTGGGCCACTCACCAGGTGGGCCCTCTGGCCTGAGGCTAATGCGAAAGGCCAGCTGAGAGGTGCAACTCCTCAGGGGCAGTCCGCCCACCCAGGCCCTCGCTGCCCGGGAACTCTTGTCCGGGGCGTCACAGCTAGCGAGGAGTGTGCACGACCGAGGCCTCGGCATTTCAGATGGGCTGGGCTCTCGGCCAGCTGCCAGAGGCCCTGCACCTTCCGTTGTGAAATCTGAGTTGCTCTGGTCTGGAGCCAGTTGGCCTCTTTGCTGCGATCACAGCTGGCCCTTGTGACCACTACCTTTCTTCTCCTGTGGTCCAGAACTGCCAACGCGACAAGCTCTTAATGAACAGAAGCAAATATGGAGTCCCAACAGCTCTGAAACTAAGAAGGATGAATGTCCCTATTTTACAGAACCATTGTTCCAGACTTCTTTGTAGGACAGGAGCCGTGGCACCCCTCAGGGGACTGGTCCACCTTCCCGGAGTGGTTGAAGACAAGAGATGCCAGGAGGATAGATAAGTAAGTCCCAAGTACGTTACCAGCCAGCGTGGCTGTCTTGGTGGCGCCCCAGGGCCCCGGGAGCAAGAGGCAGGAGGGAGAGGAGGGTCCGGCTTCCTCGGTCACCCACCCACCTGCCCGCCGTGTACGACCTCAGAAGCCACGGCTCGCAGAGTTCTCCCTGAGGCGTAAAGGAAACTGATTTCGTTTAGCACAGTCTTTGCAGCAGAGGGTTGGTTAGAAACCAACAAGTACCCTGCTGGCCAGTAAGTTCACTTGCTTTCCTCTCTGGGAAATGCTTCGTGGCACCGATGCTGAGACAGCTTCCTCGAAGTACCTGGGGGTCCCATTTTCCTTGACCGTTGGGCTATAGGGGTCCCTAGATCAGCACTCCCTCCTTCCCCTCTGGTTGCAGAACCAGTTGAAACAACAGGCAGAGAAGAGAGACTAGAGAACACGTCAGCCCCACTTCCACTCCGCTGATCGGAAACTGAGGCCCCAAGTGCCATCCCCTCCCCCGAAAAACGCCACCCTCCCACCCCCTGCCTCGGGGAAACTGGGTCTTTAGACCAGACCCACCAGACCGGGACTGCGGTCTTGCTAGGGTCCAGGGAACTGTGGGAAAGAAAGGGGTGGGATCCCCCAGGATTGCAGGCTTTTATTAAATTGGCTCCAGTCAGTCCAGAAGCAAGGACCAGAGGGCTCAGCTGCCACTCAGATCCCCTCTTCTTGGCCTGGAGGAATAAGGATGGAGCGGGGAAAGAGGCAGGGATGTTCTCTAATGCCAAGCTCCTCCTGAACAGGAAAACCTGAGCCCAGGGCAAAGGGGTCCCCCAGCCCTAGCCCCCGACTCACCGTGACCAGGCATCCTCCCGAACGCTGTCCTCGCCCACCGTCGGACGTCCTCCCGTCACGCACGGGAGCCTCGTGTTTGATAAGCTGTCCCCTAAGCCCAGGTTGGGGCAGCTGCTGATAACACGGCCCTCTGTCTGTGGCCACTTGGTCCCTGGAACTCTCTGCTGCTCCAGAGCTGACGCCAGGGCTGCTGGCCCGTCCAGCTCCTGAGCTGGCAGACCCTGGGCAGACCTGTGTCCACGGCCCGCAGGGGCCTCACCTCCCTCCGCATACTCCCCGGGGCCAGACTCTCCTGCGCTCTGGCCACCCTCTCTCTGCGGGCGTGTGCCGAGCAGCAGTGCTCCGCGGCTCTGGCCAGGGTCTCCCTCGGCGCTCTGCACAGTCCGTCAGACCAGGGAGACGCTGCAGGCTGCCCTGGGGACTCCCAGCTTGCCGGGCTGTCAGCAAGGAGGAACCTCGGGGTCTTGCCGGCGGCTGGAGGTGCGAAGCGCCTTGTCTTAAGTCCCACCCTGGGGAGTCTCACCACAGGGCTGTGGAGGCCCGGCTCCTTCACCCCCAGTCGAGCGCCACCCCAGCTCCAAGTTCCCCGGTTGAGGCTTTTGTGGAGACCACACCACAGCCCAGCTTCTCTCTCTGCCCTGCTTCCTTCCTTGCCTTCCCCAGGGTTGACTCTGAGATCACTGGGGACCCAACTTCCCGCACCTTTATCCATTTCCAGGCCTCCCTCCCAGGGACTCAGACTGCAAGCCCAGGAAATACAAAATGAAGCAAGAAGTTACGAGTAAAATACAAGTAGAAACACAAGAGACCCAGAGAGCCTGTGATGTGAATATGAAATTCAGCTTTGCGTGGAGGGGAATAGTTAGGACATTTTGAGGAAAAGCCTTGTGGGGCTGCCTTCTATTTGTGAGCGCAAATCAGGGTGATCCTTTCTGGTGGGCATTAGAGCAGCCCAGAAGTACATCTCCACAGGGGATAAGGAGAGCCACACATTTTAAATCAAAATGAGACATAAAATGGAGACACTAACTTGGAAATTAGACTGAAGTCCTTGTGTCTAGTCAAGTATCTTTTGTTTGAAAGAAAACCCATCTTGAATGCTTACTGCTTGAGCAGTCATGGAATTTATTGGCTTATAGTACTGAAAAGAGGTAATTTCTGGCTTCAAGCAGAGGTTGGTCTATAGCTCAGAAGGTATCCCCAGGATTCGACCTCTCAACATCCCGCAGCACCCTTGTCTGACGCTGGCTCCATTGTCAGGCAGCATTTGCCTCTGGGTGGCAAGATGGCTGCAGCAGCTCCAGCCTCCCATTGGCTCCTTTCCCAGCAAACCAGCAAAATTCTCGTTTTGTCCTGATGGTTGTGACTGGGTCACAAGTCCATCCTTGAACCAATCGTTGTGGCTAGAGATTGCTATGCTGTGATTGGCCAGGCCAGAGCTACATACTCCCCTCCTGGAACTGAGCCCCCCAAAGTATATGGACCGAGCATGGGGAAGGGAGGTTCATCCAAAGCTAAGTTCTGGTGTTCCCAGGAAAGTGGGAATATACTCGGCAACAAAAGCCAAGATAGGTTCACTTGAGTCGGTGAAAGAATGTTTATAGAAATGCCCTCTTCCTTCTTGTCCCCTCCAGTTAAGGCAGTTATTCTTAAGATCAAAGCATTCGAGAAAAACTGAAAAACCAAAATGACAAAAACTATTCCTTATTCCATTTTATTTTGCAGAATTACTTAATTACAGCTCTTCTAACATTATGAAAATAACTACTTGCACACAGAATGGTATGATACATATGTTTAAATGTGTTCAAAGATATCTTACGATTAAAAGAAAAAGAACGTGCAATAGAATTGCTTTCTCCTTTTTTTTTTTTTTTTTAATTGCAAACAGACAGCGTTTCTTCCTTATCAGATCCAGCAGAACTTTCCGGGCCGGCCTTGCAGCACTGCCTCTATTTTGGCATCGTTCTTCTAGTTGCAGAAGCTGTATGAGTTCCAGACAACCAATTTGCAAACGAACCATTTGCAAGGCCAGAGCCACTGTTCCCTGTCCCCTTGGGCTTGCCTCTTCCTCGTGGCTTTCCAAATACTACTGTGCTCTTTGGGCATGGGAGGAAACAGGCGATGCAGAGATAGGGTGTCGGGCAGGGGGATGGAATGTGCTGAGTCAGACAGAGCTGGGGAGCTGCCTCCTGGTTGAGCCTGGGCCCTGTTGAGAGAGAGGAGTTGAAGGAGCTCCCTGGGGCCGGATCTTGGGATCAAGCTCTAGAGCTGAGCTGTGGCCTTGGGCCTTGATCTCTCCTGAGGCTGTGGAAGGCTGTTGATCAAGATGGTCTGATTTTGTGCCACCCTGTCAGGTGGTTGGAAGAGGCTGGGCTTGGCAGGGAGACTTGCAGGGGAGAGATGTCACTTGTTACTCGTCACCCGGGCAGGAGGTGGTGAGGATGGAGCTCTGAAAGTAGGAATCTCAGAACCTCAAGGAGCAGCTGCTGAGAAAGCCCTGTTACCACTGGTGCTTGCTGCCCAGTGTACTTTCAAGGGGCCACAAAATACCTCGTTTGTTTTTTTTTGGCTGTGCCAGAAGCTTGCTGGATCTTAGCTCCCCCACCAGGGATTGAACCCGGGCTCCGGCAGTGAAAGTGTGGAGTCCTAACCACTGGACCACCAGGGAATTCCCCTTGAATAACTTTTCTTTTATTCTAGAGAAGTTGACGCGGTCTTGAAGTATCTGAAACAACGTTGTCATGCCAAGAAGATTGGCGTTGTGGGATTCTGCTGGGGTGGAGTTGCTGTCCATCACATGATGATGAAATACCCAGAATTCAGGGCAGGGGTGTCCATCTACGGTAAACCTGCCTTGTGCATTTTTACACAATGAAAACTGGAGGAGGGGTTGAGCGACAAAGGCCATGAGCCTCTTCCCAAACTGAGGGTCCTGGTGTAACACAAACCCCAGTGGAGCAGAGATGGCCTATCTTAAGGAATTGGTTTTAAAAATCTGAAGGTAGAGGTGGAAGTATGTAATATCTAACCAGAGGGAACCCAGGTTCTGACAGTGTGCCTTTGGGAAAATCACCTAATCCGAGGTCTCAATTTCTTAACCTAGGATGAAGGGGATAACTTTCTTTCTGTGATAATGGTTAATCTCAAGCAATACTTTTATGAGCAATAGCTGTGAAAAGATTTTTCCAAGATATGACTAATTCTCAACTACTCATGCATGCATGCAGTCCTGCACACACACACACACACACACACACTATATATATATATATATATATATATATACACACACATGCATATATGTGTATATATATGAAAACAGGGAAAGGGAAAACCCACTCTAAAATGTAAATAGCAACATAAACATTTCATCCAAACAAACCAAATGTATCACACCAATGACATAAGAACATTATATCTGTGTATAGAAATGGTTACTAAGAGAGGATATGGAAACATCCGACCTTGGCTTTCTTTCATGATAGTATATCCAACAGTTATACTAATGATTCTTATTTGGCTTAACGGTTCCTCACTGCGGTATTTTCACTTACTTTTAGCATTAAAAAAACCCTTTACCTGTTTACTTACTCAAAGGCAGCAGCAAGCTGCCAGTTGCCGCTAATGGGGCTGGCAGCCCTCGCGGCGCCTTTGTGTGAATTAGCACAAGGCGCTCCGGAGTGGACTGCTCGCCGGCGCCCCCTCGTGGCCGCCTCTGCGCAGTGCGCGACTGCGGAGCCGGCCGGGACTTGAAGCCCAGGGGCCTCAAAGCGCTGTGCAGCCACCTAACGTGACCTTCACAGAATCGGGCGGAAAGCGTGGCCCTCTTGCCCGTGGCTCCCTGCATTCTAGAGAGGAGTTACAGCTAAGGGGAGGCTCTCCGGGTTACTTGGCTTTGCTATACTGCCAAGAGGAAATGGAAAACAATTTTTTCTCCTCCGTACTGACTGGGATTCTCTATGACCACCCTTGAGTCAGGCTCTGCTGTGAGTCCTCTTTCTGAGTAGGTCCCGACCTTGGGCTCTCTCCTTGGCGCACTGGGTCAGTTTAGCGAGAACTCCCCACCCTTGATATGTGGTCAAATTCCTCCTGTCCCCCCTCCCCCGCCATTGCCTTGTCACCTGGCCTGCCTTCAGCAAAGGCTTTGTCAAATATTGTCTGGCCAGAATCCCCGTAGCCCGATGATTCTTGAGTCATTTTCCATCCACCGGCCCCCATCCTGCTCCATGGTGGTAAATCCCACTTGTCCTCGCATTTGGGGTTGAGTCTGGTGTCCCTCCCTCACTGCAAACCCTCATTGCCGTAGTCTCCTCGAATAAAATCTTCCTTACCGTCTTTGACAAGTGCCAGAATAATCTTTTCTTTTTTAAAATAAATTTATTTATTTTATTTATTTATCTTTGGCTGCATTGCATCTTCGTTGCTGAGCGCGGGCTTTCTCTAGTTGCGGCGAGCGGGGCTACTCTTCCTTGCGGTGCGCGGGCTTCTCATTGCGGTGGCTTCTCTTGCTGTGCAGCATGGGCTCTAGGCGCGCTGGCTTCAGTAGTTGTGGCGTGTGGGCTCAGTAGTTGTGGCATGTGGGCTCAGTAGTTGTGGCACGCGGGCTCAGTAGTTGTGGCTTGTGGGCTCTAGAGCACAGGCTCAGTAGCTGTGGCGCACAGGCTTAGCTGCTCCGCAGCATGTGGGATCTTCCCAGACCAGGGATTGAACCCGTGTCCCCTGCATTGGCAGGCGGACTCCCAACCACTGCGCCACCAGGGAAGCCCAGAATAATCTTTTCTTTAGAACTCCTCTCATCTCAGAATGACAGTGGAGTTTGAAACTTTTACTTATTTTCCTATAGGAGTGGGCACACTCAAAGTTGTCTGAATCCTCAAAGTTGTCTGAATCCCCAAAGCCCAACATGCTTTTGGCTAAATGATCTCTAAAATTCTGAAGGCACTTTAGAAGGATGAAAACTAATTATTATGAATGACCTGCTGGGACCCACTGCCGTGCCCAGGGACTTCACACACGTGGTCTCCTCTGAGCACAAATACCCCATCAAACACTGATGTCAGAACCTTGGGGCTTGAGTAAACCGTAAGAAACTTCCAGAACAGTGGTGGTCAGATGGTCCAGATTAGAAAGTTATCACCTCTTGGTAAATGAAGACACGTCCCAAGAGGGAGCATTTTTCAGGCTGCTCCGTATCTTTACCTGCCAAGCAGCCGGCCAGATCTACAGCCGTCACTTAATGGCCTGATTCCTGGTGAGTGAGGTAGAGAGAAGGGAGCTCAGACTCACTAACCTTCTCTTTGAGCCCAGTTTTATAGAACAGGCCACTTTTGTGGAATTGCTAAAAAGAAGAGACACAAAACCCCCAAAGCACATGTTTTCCTTTGAAAAATCTAACTCACATCGTTTTCTGTGGCACATGTACGGGAGTCATACCCTGTGTCCCTGTCCCGCCCCCATTCTCCAGGCATCATCAAAGACTCTGAAGACGTGTACAAATTAAAGAACCCCACGTTGTTCATTTTTGCTGAAAACGATGCTGTGATTCCCCTTGAGCAGGTAAGTTGGCATCTTAACTCTTCTCGTCTCTGTGTTTAATAGCAGGACTTGACATTTTGGGGAAAACATCCCGGAGGTTTCATTTGTTGCTCCAAATATGTTTCAACATTAAAGTTTTAAAGGTGTGTTTTATCGGGGACTCTGAGGGGGTCTGTAACCCCCTAAGTGCTCCTGCCATGGCTGGATGGCTGGTTACTTCCCTGCCCGTGCCCTCTCCGCGTGGAACCCATGAGTTATCATAAGATCTCTGTCCTTAAAGACACAGCTCTGTTTGGTTTTTTTAATTAAAATTTTTTTATTGAAGTATAGTTGATTTACCATGTCGTGTTACTTTCAGGTGTACGGCACAGTGATTCGGTTATACATAAAAAATATATATATACATATATATGTATATATTTTTCCAGATTCTTTTCCCTTGTAGGTTATTACGAAATATGGAGTATAGTTCCCTGTGCTATACAATAGGTCCTTGTTGGGTATCTATTTTATATATAGTAGTGAAGACACAGCTATGTTAAATTCAGTATGTTGATAAGGAAAAGGCAGACGGAAACTGTGGTTCAAAAGCAGTTGTTTAGAAATTACTGTTGTTATTCATAACATACATTTTATTGATATGTTTTAAACAACTTATACTTGAATCTATTGAATTACATATTGAATACATTGAATATGGTATATGCAAATAGACTGAAGTATATATTGAATAATATATAAATACATTAATACAATTTCAAATAATTGATGATGTATCTTTTTAAAAAGTATTTATTTTTATTTATTTGGCTGCGCCGGGTCTTAGTTGTGGCACGTGGGCTCCTTAGTTGCAGCACGCATGTGAGATCTAGTTCCCTGACCAGGGATCGAACCCGGGCCCCCTGCATTGGGAGCGCGGAGTCTTAACCACTGCACCACCAGGGAAGTCCCCTGATGTATCATTTTTATATGGCTCTGAATTCTCTCCTTTGCCAGAGGTGAGGACTGTGCCGGTTGTAAAAAGTGAAAAATTCATGATAGCTATGGAACTTAATTTAAAGCACAGATGTTAAAGCTCTTTGATGAGCATTGAGAGAAGGTCTGGAGAATGGAAAATATCGCTAGAGGGTTAAAGTCCTATCATCATGAAATCTTTTGCCAACCAGGTCTCTTTGCTGACTCAGAAGTTGAAAAAAAACTGCAAAGTGGAATATCAAATTAAAACGTTTTCTGGGCAAACGCACGGGTTCGTGCATCGCAAGAGAGAAGATTGTTCGCCTGAAGACAAGCCCTATATTGATGAGGCGAGAAGAAGCTTGCTCGAGTGGCTGAACAAGTATGTGTAGCCAAGGCCAAGGGCAAACTTTCTCAAAATAGCTCGCATCCAGAAATTTGCTTTGAAATGCTTAGATCATTTGATTTCATTTTCACTTTACAGACGATGAATCCTGAAATTCATCTGAAACACAAATTCAGTAGGAAAAGTTAATGTATGAAATACTTTAACCTTTAACGTGTGCATAAATAAAAAATTTTAACAACAGGTCAGGACCTGAAGAATTTGGATGGTAGAGTAATGTCCTAACTATTAGTAAAAACCTAGAGCTATCCAGGGACCAGCTCACAGATCGGGCATGGCCTTCCGGCCTTGAATTGAGCACATCCTCTAAAACGAATAATTTGGCAAAACCGTGAAGAGCCTGAAATGTAAACTCAGGTGAAGCCCACCTTAATTGGACTTTTATCTCTGTCTTAATACAGATGAGTTTGTCATGTTCACATATTGCACTATGAGAAAATTTGAGATTAAAATAGGGTTTTAATGACTGACCTAATCATATCAAGCTAAAGACTTAATTTTTGAGTTTTTGAATTTGTGGCTTTTTCTAAAAGCTAATAAAAAACGATGGATGAGAGTTGTCATCCAGCTCTCTGCTAGGCAGTGGTGTTTCAGACAGTGACGTTTTCGGGTCCCTGGGGCTGGGGTGGCATCACAAATCTCTCCTGTGTTCAACCAGAAGGGTGGTGTCAAGGGTAAAGTTTCAGTTTTTACATTTAAATTAATTAAAATCACATCAAATCGAAGCCCCAGCTCCTCAGTAGCCCTCACAAGTCAAGCCCTCGGTAACCACGGGTGGTGGGTGGGAACCGCATGGGGCGTGCGTGTCTGCACCGGTCAAGCCACTTCACATGCTGTAGCTGCATCCTGCTGATGCACAGTTAACTCCATCATCCCCCGTGTGACAGCACAGCGGTAATCCTTCTCAGTCCCAGCCCAGAGGATCTCTCTACCTGGCCAAGTGCTCACGACTAGAGCAGGTAGCCATCCTTCCTGCTGGCCTGCAGGCTCTGCAGATGCTGAAGGGCTACCTTGTTCCCCACCAGGCTGGACCTACAGGAGGCTCTCACCAGGTGGGGCTGTGGGGAGGGGGCCGTCTTGGGTCCTGGGTGGAGGGTGGGCTTTAGGCCCAACGTGCATGGCTGACTGGGGGCCGTGTCAGGGCTGGGGCTCCGGGAGGGGAATTGGGGAAATTTTTCGTCCGGAAGCCGGGGAGCAAGGAGGTCCCGGCAGCATCAGGGAGCCACCCCTCATCTTCCGTGGTCGCTGGGCCTGCAGAGGCCCCGAGAAGGGGTCCCGGGCTGGGCCAGAGGTGGGGCAGCGGTGCGTGGAGTGGAGAGGAGGTGAGGGCGCGGGAACCAGGCTGGCTGTAGAGAAAATGAGGCGTGAGGGAAGAGCCCAGGACTCAGGACCCACGAGGGCTTGATTTGTTCTGCTTTCTAAGGGGACCTATCTGGTGGAAGGTGCGAGGGGGTTGAAGGTGCAGTGGAGAGGTTCTGTCAGGCAGGGGGACCTCAGCTCCCAGGGTGAACCTGTGCAGGAGCCCTGACTCACCTCTGCTCCATGCTCACGGCTGCTGGAGGGGGCTCCCATCACTGTCCCTCCAGGGGGCCAGTGGCCGCCTGAATAGCGCACCTGGCTGTGCTGAGAGGAGAGCACCCTGGAGGGCCCTGCATGGCTAGTCAATTCCCTGGTCTGGAAGTGATGCTTTTCTCCCCTCCTGGCCTGAGCTGCTCACACGGCCCCGCTGGTCACGGAATCTGGAAGTGCGATCCCGTCGGGTGCCCAGAAAGGGCCACGTGTTGGCAAGGCTCACTACCCGAGATGGGGAACTGAGGGAGCAAGCTTGAGAGGAGATGGAATCTAGGGTAACGCAACACCGCCCCCCTCCCACGACAGGAATGTATGAGTTTCCTACTGCTGCTGTGACAGATGATCACAAACTGTGGCTTAAAGACAAATGTATTATTCCATCCGCTCAGCTGTTTTTTCTGCTCTGGGTCTCACAAGGCTAAAGTCCAGCTGTTGGCTCGTTAGGCTCCCTTCAGGAGGTCTGGGAAGGATCCACGTCCAAATACAGCTGACCCTTAAACAACAGGCCTGGACTGCGTGCGTCCACTTGCAGGTGGATATTTTCCAACAGTAAGCACTGCAGCGCTACACGATGTGTGGCTGGTTGAATCCTTGCATGTGGGACTGAGTGTATGGAGGGCCAAAGGGCCGGCTGTAAGTTACCCAGGGGTCTTCACCTGTACAGGTGGGCGGCGCCCCTAACCCATGTTGCTCAAGGACCAAGTGTGCACCCGTTTTTGCCACAGCTATCCCTTGCAGTTCAGGACCGAGGCTCCGCTTCCTTCCTCGGCCCCTTCAGGCCTGTGTTCAGGGCCTGCACACGGTTGCTGCGTCTCAGGGCCGGCAGGGGGGCATCCAGTCCTTGGCACCTGCACCCGCCTTCTGTGACAACGCAGGGCCCCTGCGATGACACGGGGCTCCCCTGCATCGCCTCCCTCTCCTAAGGTCAGCTGACTAGTACCTCACGCCGTCTGCAAAGTCCCTTCACGGCAGCACCTAGGTCAGCGTGATGGGGTAACTGCACAACCTGACTGAACCCTGGTGTGGAATCCTGCCTGCCACCGGGAGTAGGGGTGGAGGAGGCTGCCCAGATGACCATGGGTGTGAGCACAGAGGCCGGAAGTTCACACTATCAGCTTCAACTGCCCTTGAAACGGGTCAAGATCATACGATAAGTCTTGGTAAGTGCAGATTTTCAGTGCTGTATAAACTTGAGTTTATTTCAATGAGCGAATGGTGCAAACTATGCAGCGTTTCTTGGCAATGACCGGCATTATGAGGATTTAAGGTGCTAATAATGCAGTAATTCTCAAACGTTTTGATCTCAAGATCCCTGTATGCGCTTAAAAACTTATTGAGGACCCTCCTCCTCCTCTCAAGAGCGTATGTTTTTGTCACTTACACCCGCTGGCATTAGCGTTAGAAAACAAAACTAAAAAATTAAGGCAAATATTTATTTTAAAATAATAATGAACACACGGTAATGTACACTTTTTGTAGTTTCCAAAACAAACGAAGAAGAGTGGCGTTGTTTTCCACTTCTGCAAATCTCCTCGATGTCTCTCTCAGCAGAGGACAGTGGGTTCTCACATCTGCTTCTAACAACACATTCAATTCAGTGCAGTGTAGAGTCTGGCCACATCGATATGTTCAGTAGTTGGAAAACAGTACATATTGTTTCAGTCTCTTCCAAAACAGAACAAGTGGTAGTTTCAATCAACTTTTCATTCTGTTACGTTGGTCCACCTACACAAGAACGAGACTGTAATATACTGATGATTGGAAAATACTAGCTTACCGAGCCACGCACAAATACCATCAGTTGTTGCTGGCGGGGGTGGGGGGAGAAAGAGGGAGACTCCACAGACCCTCCCAGAGCCACTGAGGATACAGTGAGCAGGTGGCTGCCGCCTACAAGCGCTCTCACCAGACACCGGACCGGTCGGCACCTTGATCTTGCACTACCAGTCTCCAGAACTGCGTTGTCTAAGCAAGCCGGACTACGGTACTTTTGTTGTAGGCGTTCCACTGAAGTGACAGGGTCACAATTCATTTCTGAGTAGCCGTCTGTCACGCACACGTGTGAGTAACTGGCTGTCAGTCACATTTAAGTAAAGACAGTGTCCACGGGGAGGGGCCAGTCCAGCTGAGGCGGCTGCCATGCCTGTTACATGAGGTGCTTCACACACTTGCTGTGTCGAGCGAGCACCGAAATGCCGTGTACTCAGGGACCGAAATCTAATGACTCAGTGGCTGGCACTGCTTCGAGGTCACCCTTCAGTGACAGCGGCTTTCTAAGCGGGTGGTGGTGAGGAATACAGCTTCTAGCACCACCACCTGATCCCTGCTCACGAGTTTTACCCGTCACTGCTTTTGCACCATCAGTGCAACTGTCAACACGGTGAAAACGGCAAATCAGCTCTTAGTGAGAAACTACTGTTGACCTCACAGCCCCTTGAAAACCGCTGTTATCACCTACGTAAGACGTTACAACAGCACTCAGGACCCAGCATGTTCCAGGTGCCCTCGCTGCTGCCACTGCGTTCCCCCAACGCTCCCCAAGGAGCCACCTGTCTTTGGTGCCCTCTTTCCCGGCGCTTCAGCTGACCCCCGTCTGCCCGGCTACCCCCAAGAAGCACCTGAAATGCACAAACACTTCTCCACGCCCAGTAGCACTTCAATTATTTGTTACTTCATTACTCCCATTCCCATCCCCCCACCCCGCTTTAGTGGAGCTGTTTTACCACGAACAGAGAAAGAAAGGATTAAAGACATTCGGTCACATACAACCCAGTAGCCTCTCAGCCCCTGCAGAAGCGTTTGTATTTTTGAGTGGTTGTTTATAATTAAAGACCAGGCCACCTAATAAACATCAAATAGGGAATTCCCTGGTGGCCCAGTGCTAGGACTTGGCACCTTCACTGCTGGGGCCCGGGCTCAATCCCCGGTCGGGAACTAAGATCCCGTAAGCTGCACGGTGCAGCCAAAAAACAAAACAAACGAAAGGACAAACAAACAAACAAAAACACTGAATAAAGCCGCCAAGTGCAGGAATTGGGAACCAACAGGACAATGTTGGGCCCTGCGTGGGAATCCGGCTTCAGGGTCAAGTGCCTTCACTGCTCTTGATACACACAGGATGAGGCGTGTGCTCTTGATACACATGGGGTCGGCTACAATACAAGGGATATAAACTCGACAAGCCATTTGGAACTGGAAGATAAAAGGTAACATGGTACCCTGAAGAGGTGCTTTTACCGGAAAAAAATCAAAAGCTTGTGAAACAACATGTGTACGAGTTTGTTCGTAAGCCACATAGTTTCTCTCAACCGAAACCAGCAGAAGCATCTGTGAGGTCCACTCTTTGGAGGAGTGGTTTCGTAGCTCTTTTCATTCAACCACAAACCTCTTCTTGTTAAGACTGGTCCAAAGCAA